CCACCTCCCGGGTTCAAGCAATTCTCCTGCCTCAGCCTCCCAAGTAGCTGGGACTACAGGTGCCCACCACCATGCCTGGCTAACTTTTTGTATTTTTAGTAGAGATGGGTTTCATCACATTGGTCAGGCTGGTCTCAAACTCCTGACCTTGTGATCTGCCCGCCTCGGCCTCCCAAAGTACTGGGATTACAGGCATGAGCCACCGTGCCTGGCTGACCTTCTTTATAAGAAAGCATACGCTTTGTGAATGACAGAGCTATTGGTGAGCTGTATGGCTTCCTTATAAAGACAGCATTCTTGTGTGTCATGTTAGTCAAAAAGATGTCTCAATGCCAATAGTGTATCTTTGGCTGGCTTCCAGGGCTAGCCATTTAAAAAAAAAAAAAGGGTCAAAGCAGAATTGTAAATTATTATCTTTAGCCTAAGAAGCATAGCACTTACACAAACCCGTATTCAGTGAGTACAGATCAATATTTTCTTTTTTTCTTTCTTTTCTTTTTTTTTTTTTTGAGACAGGGTTTCAACCTCCTGCCTAGCCTGGGAGTGCAGTGGTGCAGTCTTGGCTTACTGCAGCCTCAGCCTCCCGGGCTCAAGGAATCCTCCCACATAGCTGGGACTATAGGCATGAACCACCATGCCTGGCTCGTTTTTGTATTTTTTATAGAGACAGGGTTTTACCGTGTTGCCCAGGCTGGTCTCAAACTCCTGAGTTCAAGTGATTCACTTACCTCGGCCTCTCAAAGTGCTGGGATTACAGGCGTGTACTGCTGCACCCAGCCCAGATAAATATTTTCTAATTGGGAGGCTATACCTTTTACAAGGTAGCAGACAAGAAGCAGAAAATTTGCAGTAGATACCTGTATCATTGTGGTTTTTTGGTGGCTCTTTGGACACATGTAAACAGTGCTACAATAGTGGAGGAGGTGGCTTATTTTTAAGGAAGGGTTGGTTAATTGCATTAGTGTTGTATTTTTGGAACATTTTTAATTATTATATTTTGTTTAAAATAAATATGTATTTCTTCTTTCAGATGTTTTTATACCTATGCCAGAGAACTTATTAGTAAACTTAAATGAAAGTAAAGAGGTAAGGCACATTTTCCTACCTGACATGTTTAATTGAAATATTGAAGGAATATGTTTTTGAAATGAACTTTAAGTAAAATTTTTATTATTTCTGTGACATTTCTAAGATGTGTAGCATTTTATATTTGCTCTTATAATTAGATGAACAGCTCTTGAGTTCCACCTTGAGCTGATCATTTTTAAGTCTAATGAAGCAAGTTATTTGTAGTAGGGTAGAAAATAAGCATATTCCATAAAGGAGGAACACCTGAAGGAAATCTGTCTTGCCAGCCATTTGGGAAGTTGGGAGGGTTGCTGAGATAAAGCTTCTGGTCACTACATAGAAGCACATTAGGTAGGCTGCTTTCAGTGCCCTTTGCTTTTCTGATTCACAGAGTGTCATTGGGGTCAGTTCAGAAGAAACTCTTATTACCTGCCTGGAAATTGCCATGAGATAATACAGTGAGAGGTGAACAGAATGTGTCTGAAGGGGGGATGTTGTCTACCCTGTACATGCATATATGCCGTAGGGGTAACATTTTAACTAGCAAGTCTATGGTCTCTGCTGTTGGCAATGGTGACTGTGCCATAGTGCGAAGTATTTTTTTCCCCATTAACTCTATTTGTACAACCTAACCTGTAAAGGTAGTTGTTTCTCTTTTGTAGTGCTATTACTAGTTGACAAAGTTACTGGATATATTAGATTTGCAACAGGGAACAGCTAAACTCACTTTGGTACTTAAAAGAATAAAGTATGTAGAGGTGATGGAGAAGGCCATATTTCATGGCATTAAAATATACCAAATCTCTGAACTGTGATGGTTCTTTTGGATACATTTTGGACTTATAGTCTTGCTGGACTACTGCATGTGCAAGAACTGTAAGGCCCCAACTTTGATTTGTCTTGCTTGCCAATTTATAATGTTGACTTAAAATGGCTTTCTTGTCATTTGACCAACTTCATTGTTTAGTGTCTGTAGACTCTCTGACCATCATCATGACTCAATGTCTTGTCTATTGTATTAGATACTGACTGAATGTGAAAAAAATTTTTAATTGTGACACTCTTGAGTTTTCTTGCTTTATTTTATAAGCTCGTGCAAGATTTACTGAAAACTTTGCCACAAATGTTTACTAAGACTCTGGAGACCCAGAGTGCCTTGGGTCCTGCACTGCTGGCTGCCTTTAAGCTGATGTCTCCAACTGGTGGTCGAATGTCTGTCTTTCAAACACAACTCCCAACTCTTGGAGTGGGAGCCCTGAAACCGCGAGAGGAACCAAACCACAGGTCATCTGCTAAGGTTAGAGAGTCATGAAATGTCTGATAAGGTTTCTGCTGGTGTTCCACCTCTGTGACCACAGAGCTTGTTTTTTCTTTAAATTTATTTGTCAATTGTTGGGAGGAGGGACTATAAGGAAATTAACTTTTATGTAGACGTTTTTATTTTGTTACATTTTTCTCTACCTGATGCATCCTTCTTTAATTTTTAATATCTTTAGCAGGCCACTAGCAATTCAGTCTGCCTTCAGAGAAATAGTCTGGGAGACTAACAGCATATGCTTGACAGGGACAAAGAGAACCTGATTGACCAGTTAAGAATAGTCTTATTTGGCTGGGCGTGGTGGCTCATTCCTATAATCCCAACATTTTGGGAGGCCAAGGCAGGCGGATCACCTGAGGTCGGGAGTTTGAGAACAGCTTGACCAACATGGAGAAACCCCGTCTCTACTAAAAATACAAAATTAGCCGGGTGTGGTGTCACATGCCTATAATCCCAGCTACTCAGGAGGCTGAGGCAGGAGAATCGCTTGAACCTGGGAGGCGGAGGTTGCAGTGAGCTGAGATTACGCCATTGCACTCCAGCCTGGGCAACAAGAGCAAAACTCCATCTCAAAAAAAAAAGAAAAGAAAAATAATAGTCTTATTTGGCACATTGATGGCCAAGGTGCTTGTGTGCACCTTGTGTGCATAAACTTTAAAGTTTTTGAGACCCGTATTTCCCAAAAGATGAAAGAGAGACCTGTGTACTATACTGGGTATTATATCATTCCTGGAGTCAGACTGCCTATTCTCACTGTTACATGTGGGAACTTGAAAAATTAATTTCTTCACCCCTTTGTTTCTTTATATATAAGGTGAAAATAAAGGGTCAGGTGTGGTGGCTTATGCCTATAGTCCCAGCCCTTTGGGAGGCTGAGTTGGAAGGACTGATTGAGCTCAGGAGTTTGAGACCAACCTGGGCAACATAGTGAGACCCTGTCCCTACAAAAATACAAAAAAATTAACCAGGTGTGATGCTGAGAGCCTGTAGTCCTAGCTACGCTGGAGGCTGAGGTGAGAGGATCACTTGAACCCAGGAGGCTGCAGTGAGATCGTGCCACTACACTCCAACTTGGGAAACAACAACAACAAAAAAGATGACTGGGTGCGGTGGTTCATGCCTGTAAGACCGTGCTTTGGGAGGCTGAGGCGGGTGGATAACCTGAGGTCAGGAGTTCGAGACCAGCCTGGCCAACACGATGAAACCCCATCTCTATAAAAAATACAAAAATTGGCCGAGCATGGTGGCTCATGCCTATAATCCTAGCACTTTGGGAGGCCAAGGTGGGTGGATCACGAGGTCAGGTGTTTGAGACCAGTCTGACCAGCATGATGAAACCTGTCTCTACTAAAAATACAAAAATTCACCAAGCATGGTGGCATACGCCTGTAATCCCAGCTACTCAGGAGGCTGAGGCAGGAAAATCGCTTGAACCTGGGAGGCGGAGGTTGCAGTGAGCTGAGATTGTGCCACTGCACTCCAGCCTGAGCAACAGAGTGAGACTCTATCTCGAAACAACAACAACAAAAAAACCACAGAAAAATTAGCCGGGGGTGGTGGTGTGCACCTGTAGTCCCACCTACTTGGGAGGCTGAGGCATAAGAATTGCTTGAACCCGGCAGGAGGAGCCTGCAGTGAGGTAGCTGAGGTAATGCCACTGCCCTCCAGCCTGGGTGACAGAGTGAGACTCTGTCTCAAAAAA